TCTGTTAGATTTTTTCATTTATTTAAAAATGTGAATTGTTTTAATTGTGGCGTAGTATGTTACTGGTTTATAAAAGAAGGAAAAATGATTTATTGTGGTTCTCTAAAAAAGTCTGCAGTGTCCAGCTGATGTCCGAGGGGTGGCACACACTGTTTTGCCTGCCTTCAAGCCAAGGTGGAAGATGTAACTCATGTACACAGCATGGAAATATATTTCCATGTTTTCTGTTTTCCACAGAAAACACAACACGAATCCCCTGGTCAAATGACCACTCAAGAAGATGTAGATATCTTGACTTTCTAGTTGTCCAGCCTGCACATGTAAACGCCTTGCAGCCAAACCTGCTAAGCTTTCTGGGGTAGTCTGTAGCAGAGAAATGGTTTCCTATTCTCTTAGGAGGTAAAGGAAAAAAAAAAAACTTGGGCAATGTGGAGGAGAGTGTTGCAGAAGGGGAGGAATGAGTTGGAAGAAAATATGAAGGTGCTGCATTAGGGAAGGGGATCCAGGAGACAATGCAGTAAGGTGAAGGGAAGAAGAGGGTGCCAATTTGGCTGAGCACTACTGCAGTAAGGAAAGATGGGCAGGGAGCACAGCCTGGGATATTAAAATAGGAAGGAGGATTCAAGCTGATATTCTGAAGTGCCATTTTGCCTACAGCCAGAATTCTTTGGCAAACATTTAATTGTAGGCATTTTTTCTCTCCGAAAGGGACTCTTTCTTTGCCGTATCATAGGCATCTGTCTGTTAAAAATATAATTTTGTTTTCTGCTTTTGGAAAGTTATATGTATGTCAGACACCCGTCTTTAATACATCAATGCTCCAGTCTTCTGATTTGGTCCTGGGGAAGTGGTACAAATAGAGAATAAGTTTGGGGTGTGCTGACTTCATGAAGAGCAGGGACCTCTTCAATACTATCACTGCCTTTGAAGAAAACTGGCTGTATATCGCTTGAGACAATTATTTTGCTCTTCAACTGTGTGAAGTTACCACTCCCTAGTAATATCCAACATTTCTCATACGTAAGAAGCCCTCAGTCTTTTTGACTGTGTAATTTATAAAATCTGCTCTTAGGACGATTTGCTTGGGCCGTAGTACTGATCTGGTAATGTATGTATTACTTCTTTTCTTCAGAGGCACATGTATAAATACCGCTGACCTGTTTTTTTGTCAGAATTATGTTTGAATACTTAGGTGAAACCTAAAATCTGGTACTATCTGGAAAGTAATTTCTTTTAATGATTTTAGTAAAGAAATATTAAACTGCTTTATTATTGGGCTAAAGGAAAATTTAGTAGAAATTACCAGTATCATTAGCATTTTAAATTTCAAAATTACTTTCTGTCTTCCTATAGGATGCTTATAAATAAATTAAGTCCTACTAGAAACATGGAAAAAATGCTTTTTAAGTGAGCTGTATCATTCACATCTCCTGATGAAGTCATAATACGTTTTGCTTTTGATCTGTGTATGGACAGGACCAAAACTATAATTCAATCCTTACTTAGATCCATAGATCCTAATTACAGCAGTGCCCATCTTGCTCAAGAATTTAGCATGGCATATGCATTACTTTTTCATAGAAATAAAGTAGCTCAATATTTGGTTACTAGAGGAAGTATTGGAATATGGTGATCACGTATTTGACTTCGTCTGCAGTTAGAATGCACTTAGGTTGGGGAGTAGTATAGAGATGGAAATTTTTTTTTTTTCCCAGTGGTCTCTTTGAGATCACTTAAGCAAGCAAGTCTGGCTAGTAATGTGCTGATTCTGTAACAAGGAGAGAAAGTCGTAAAAGAAGCAGCACTATAATATAAACAGAGTAAAATTAAGGGTATTTTTCCACTGGGATGATATGTCTCTTAAGAAAATAGAAACATTCTACTATAGTGTTCCTCCCCCAGTAAAGCCCCAGCTGACACAAATGGGTGACTGCATGGCTGAGACAGGCTGGAGAATCCATTATTACTGGTTTTTGAGATTAGGCTGCAGAGCTCAGGTAGAATTAATGTGTTGCCATCTCTCATTATCTCTGCAGGATGCTTTGTTAATATAGCTCTTGCTGTTTCATTCAAGCCTGAAGACAATTTAGCTGTTGGCCAAAAATAAGTGTCATATTAATATTGTAGGACTTATTTCTTCAGTGGAGATTTCCGGAGCTTCCAAACCAGAAAGTTTCAAGACTGTTGATAAAGGTTCAGAATTTCTTCTTGATGTTGTATTTTTAAAACCTATGCATGGCTGGGGAAATTAGGTTCCCTACCTGTAGGAATGCTCTTTGTTTACTTCTCCTGGAAACTGGCCCCCTTTCTTAACTCTTGAGGACATTCTTTGGTAGGTAATAAACATGAGTTGTATTTCTCTTGGATTGTTAGAGAATAAATAAGGCACTAATTAAAACCTTGAAATACATTTCCAAACTCCCTCCCACAGCAATATCCAGATTCATACAAATTTGTATGAGCCAGACAAACATTTGATGAGATACAAGCCAACACATAGCATATTGCTTGTCTGTGACCTGAAGCAATCATAAACTGTAGCTATTTTTTTCCAGTTAAAAAAGTATGAAAAATATTCTTATTATTTGTAATAAAGCAGAACTTTTCAAACAAAACTATGAACTATAAATTAATGAGTACCTTCTGAATTCGGGACACATGTAGAATTGAAAGAGGTCTATTACAGAAGCTGAAAATCTATATTTAATGAATACACCCACTACATCTATTAAATTGGCAAGATAATAAATGTGCAGCCCTCTCTTTTGCTTCAGAAGAACACATTCAACATATTCATTAGCTGAGAGTTTTACCAGTTGTTGCAAATATACTTCAAATGCACTTTCCAGTTACTTATGAACTGTGCATTGCTGTGCAAGCATCAAGCAAGCTTGCATTCAGTCTGCTCTGAGCACTCATCCTATATTGTTTGGGCACTCACAGTGCCTACTTTTATGGCTTGAGTGGGAGTTGTGGCCACAAAAGTTATAGAGGTGGGTACTTTGTGACTTTTAGTAACTTTGGCATAATTCGTTTCTCATTCCATTCAGCTTTGTCCTAGATAATGCATAAACACATGGCATTTCCAGTCTTTAAATGTCATATTCATGCAATGGAAGAAACAGTTTGTTTGGCATTGAGTAGGTCCATCGTAACAGTGGGATAAAAAACTTGGCTCATCTATTTTTGAGTGTCAGGGTATTCCTAAGGTTTTCTGAAGGACACCTCTGTCTCTGCCCAAGCTTCCTTTGGCCACATGGTGCCTCTCATATCTCTGTAGAATCACAAAGTGTTAAACTATAGTCAAGACAAGCAAGAACAAGTTAATTGATTTTTCTTGGCAGATCTGCGCATGATATGCTTCTTCCAAATAGGATGGGCTGGAGAATCCGTTATCCCTCTGTGGGCTTATGCCTTCAGTCTTACCTCCTTTTTACGCGAGATCGCTGTAGTTAGGGGTTCTATTAAAATGTGTAGTGAACGGTTACCTGGTAGCAGCAGATAACTGTTGTGTTCTGCAAGTGAATTTTGAGTGTATTGGCCAATGCAATTTCCTCAGGTTATATATTCTCAATGGAGAACATCGGCACTAACATAACTTGAGTATGTTGCCTTTCATAATCAGATGTCAGAATCTGACACAGATGGTGGCATTCAGCCCACAGCAAAGATGCTCTGCAAACAGAAAGCTCATCTTGAGAAATTATGAAACTAATACGCACCTTCTGGTTTTAATCCTCATGTGTTACATGAGAATTTCCTTCATGCTTGTTCCATTTGTTTATTGCCATAAACATTGTTTACGTAGTATTTGGTTGGTGGAGGAGTTGTTCTAAAGCCAAACATGCTTTTATGACGGCTTAAGAGTTAAGAAGGGAGGTATGGAAGAACCAAAGCATATTATGTGGTATTTTTGATTTGGCGGTGGCTTTTATGCCAGTTTTCCCCATTCCTTTTCTTCCTGATTGCTTCCTTATCTTGATGAGAAGCGATAGAAAATGGCAAGCAGGCAGATGCTGTGGATGTTTACGATAACGTCTGACAGCTAGAAGGAGATATATTCATGGAAGGGAAAAAAGACAGACGTTTCCACCACATACAGGAGATGATGTAGAGGCCTCTGCTCAGCTGGCCTTTGAAAGCTGTTTTCTAATACAGGACTGAAAACATTACATGACAACTGATGTATCTGAGTTAATACTAGGGTGCCTTGCCTAGGCTTGCCAGCCAAAGGGGTTAAAACCAGAAGCGGTTCTGGTCCAAAATGATGGAAGCTGTTTCTACGAATGGTGTAGTTTCAGGAGGTGAGACCGGCCATGCCGTGCTAAAAGGCTTAGTGGGCCTTGTGTTCAGACGTGTCTCTTGGCAGAGCTAAGTTCTCGTTTAGTTAACTGGGCAACTATTATAGTGGCATTTTACAAATTGAATGGAATTGTATAGACCAAGATTTTTCAAGAGGCAAGTTTGTAGGTAAAAGTGACTTAAATGATTGTGAGACTGCCAAGTGGCCAGCGGGTTTGGTTCATTTTGAATAATTTTATGTCACTTTTAGATTATTAGAAATATATCGCAATTAATAATAGTATATTTTTGCCCACTGTTTCCTGGGCAGCCCTTACTCTTCCTGAACTTTATTCTTTCATCTTAAAAACCCAACAATAACAAAAAAGTAAAACGTCTCCATACAATTTCATATTTCTCATTTCTCTATGATTTGCAGGCCAAATTTATTTACCCTGTAAATACAAGAAAACTTTAACCTGAAGCTCTGCCATCTTGTGCAGAAATTCAGCATTGAAATATCTGACATGAGCATGAAGATGTATCTTACTCACAAATACGTGCATTAATCTATGTATCGTACACCACTTAGAGCTGGAAAAATAGTGAATGGTAGAACTTTTTAAAAATTATGAACCACTAGGTTATGTGTTCGTCACGGTTTTGTTTTTCATAAGGATGTTGAATCTGAAGCCACTGTTACTCTTCTTGTGTTTTAGGTGCTGTAGCAGTTTTGATCCCTCGCCTAGACCTGGTGATTTCTTTCGTCGGAGCCGTCAGCAGCAGCACTCTGGCACTGATTCTGCCGCCACTGGTTGAAATCCTCACTTTCTACAAGGAAAACTTAAGTTTATGGACAATATTTAAAGACATTTTTATAGCTGTCATTGGAGTTGTTGGATTTTTAACAGGGACATACGTGACGGTTGAAGAAATCATTTATCCTGCATCCACAGTTCTAGCTAATGCAACAGAGAGCATCTCTGCGGATTTAAATGCTACAAACTTGGTGGTTGGTTTAAAGTAATAACCAGGCGCTGTGAACTGTTTTGTTCCTTAACAAGGAATCCTAGATGGCAGACCTACGTGTGGGACAAATTCCATTTCCAAATGAATTTTTGAAAAATAGCATGCAGCCCTTTCTCCCTCTGTTGTTTGTTCTTTCCTTCATTCCTTCCCATCTGCTCCCTGAATTAACCCCTTTGCTCTCAACCTCTGCTCATCTAGTGAAAAACTGAATTGATGTAAGGATTTAAAATATATACATGAATATAGGAAGGAAAGATGATTTTAGGTTATTTGCAAGAAAAAAAAGAAGAATTTTTATAGGGAAGTCAAGATGCCTTCCTCCTCAGAAAAGGTGGAAGTCAATCCATTCATCATATCTAGGCACCAAGTCTAGGCACTACTGTTTTCCCTCCAGCTCTGTTGTAAGGGTTGGAGTGGGAGCTCAGTGATGCATAGACCTTCTCTTGGCTGTCTCTGACGGGGTGAATTGCACCCCAGCAAACCAGAGACACTATAGTTTTAGAAAAGAGCAGCTGTGTTTTTCATTTCCATTCTGGGGACTTCAGATATTTGCTGTGGAAAATGTTTTGGGTAGTTGCAGTTGCCTGGCTCCGGTTCCAGGGAGTCGATATGTCTGGAATTAGAGTGCACTGTGCAGAATAACTGTGACTCTTGTTCAGTCTTTTCGCATTGGCTCCAAGGGGAGTTTTTCAAGCTATTGGAAGGACCAAGCCCTCCCTGGCTGGTATAGCAGACCACTGCTGGTGGTTGGTTACGTGACAATAAGCTTAAAGGCATTTTTTTCTCATGCCGACTGACTTAACATTTAAGCTGAAGAACGGACAAGACTGTAAGGTAAGGTTTAGAGGTAAAGGCTGGATCTTTTATTAGACCAAAAGATAGCCAGTTAGGAGTGTTCTTGCCATCTTACCTGATCTGTTACTATATGTTCCTGTACCATGAGCTGTTCAGCATGGCCAGACCCCTGCTCCAGGGAAATCTCAATGTGATGCTCAGAAGAACCACGGAGGTCTGACTGTCCAGAGCAGCTTAAAGATTCATGATGTTACTTTCTGTATGAGAAAGGAAAGGATGAGACACTACTTTCTAGAATGGAGTTTGTGCCATACTTTCACGCGTATAAGCTGTGGGTTATTTGTGAAAGAACTTGTGATTTCACAGCGCTGTGGGCCGGGGGGGGGGCACCAGGGATGTCTACTCTGAAGCCCTTTGTCCCTACAGTGCACCACCTGCCCGCAGGTTGTCCGAGGATGTGGGTTGTCTCAGGACTTGCTTTCAACTACTGGTACTTTGTAGAGAGGTACAGCTGATATGAGACATAGGGTATACATGTGAAAATATGATATTTTTTTAGAAAGTAATTATAGATCCCTTTTGGATTTTGAATGAGAAGTTACAGGATGTTGTTTATCAGAGCAATATTACTTTCTTTAATGGTGCAAAAACATTCAACACCACAAATTATAAGTAGTTTATTTTTGTACATTTTGGTAACTGCTGTCCTGACCCATTTTTTACACCATTTCTTTATCCTTCATTTCCACTATACAAATGTATGAAATGCTGTATTTTTTTTTACCTGTTGCTAGAAGTCTGCAGACTGCCTATCTATATTTCTATTGGAACATATAATTATTATTTTTGCATTCTCATGTTCTGCCTTAAATAGAATCTAACATGCCCTTTACTGATTTTTGCTTCTTTTGTCCATTTTGGAAGAAAAAAAGAACAAGTTGATAAGTTGGTAATTGGGTAGAAAAGAGTTTTGTTCAGCAAGCCTGCGCACTGAGTCCCCAGCCGGAATCCTGATTTTCAGGGTTCATATTTGACTTTCTGGCTCACACTTCATAGATGACTTTCACTCCAAATGCTAAAGCTATATTTTTGGTCTTGTTTTCTAAAAACACTCTATATTTTGTACAACAATAGAGCTGTATTTATCATACTCATCCCTGTTATGAAGAAACTCCTTTTTCTAAGGGATATTTTTAATTATAATATTCCCCTAAGAAATACGGTATGCCAAAACCTCTCTACTCTATTCATACAAATTGAGATAGAAATATATGTAATATTTTGCCTGCCTTCAGTGTATTCCTCAGAAGTCTACCATTTGGTAATCTACCATTTGGCACTACAGTCCTAAAGTAATATAATGCTAGATATATCTATATTTGTATTTTCTCTTCAGAATATTTCCCCAGTCATCCACCATGTGGTGACTGTATTTGAGCACTTTTATGTCCATGTCGATGAGGGCGTTTCTGATAGGGATTCGTTATAGAATGTAGTTCAAACTGCATGTATTTGTTCAAGCAATAGTTCTGAGCAATGCTCTGATTTTCATTTTAGCGTGGACAAAGTTAAATACTTGGTAGGCACTTTAAGGGATGAGTCTTTGCAGGTATGACGCTATAGAATTAACCTTTCGTATGACAGTGCCACAGAGGAGCAAACACAGGTAGTTAGCAAGAGGCAAAAGGTAACCGGCTTTTCATCTTAAAGGTTTTTTAGTCTTTAAGCTGCTTTACAAGACATTGAATCTAAGTGTTTCCATCTGTTTCATAATGAATCTGTTGTTTACCTAAACCAAACACTGCACACTGATAGAATATATTTCTGTGCGGCATATTTTACTTGACGTTAAATACTTCTACATGGATCATTTTTAGTAGGACTGACAGGATTTAAGTGAAAGTTGTTTTTCTTGTTAGCTTTGCATCTTTCTGCCCATGTGTTTTTGGAGAATAAAGGACTGTAAAGTCCGTTCATACCATCTGTTCTGCATTGATTGTGTCCTAGTGAGCAACTCTGAGAAGGTGCTTCTGCCAGGGTGCAGAAGGGCTTGACCAGTTCAGAGTTTGGTGGTGATTTTTGGCTGGTGCAAGTGAATACTGACATGGAACTATCAATGGCCATGTGCTGAGCTGGGAACCTAGAACCTAGATGGGTGGCCCTGGTACCCAGGTGGACGCAGCATATCTTGCTGAAAGTCAGGCGATTTGTTTAGAAGGTTGATAAGTTTGAGAAATCTAATCTTAGCCATCAAAGTTTGGATAACCCGGCCTGAATACAAACCTTTACACATCTTACTGCTGTGTCTGACAGGGGAGCAGCCTGTCAAGGAGCAGATTTTCAGACTGATGTGTTGCCACTGACTGACCAGGTATGAAGTAGTGTGTTTATGCAGTGGGCCGGTGTTGCCATGTCTAACAATGTTGTAGCTTTTGAATCTTTAAAATGTTATATTAATATATTTTGCACAGTGTCGATTTTCTCCTACAGTGTAGGATTGTTGTTATTTTAACACTCATACAGTGCATTTGCGTGGCCTGCTCTTTCAAATAGAAAGAGTCGGGAATCAGACTTGGATAAGACTAAAATGTCACGTAGTGAAAAACTACTAAGTCTGAATAATAAGAGTGTTCCTGTGAAACATTGCCAAAGATTTAAAAGATAGGAAATTCTGACAGAAACCTCTTCTGAATAATAAGAGTGTTCATTCAGCTTTTAAAGTACTGTAATATAAATTGCAAGTTAAGATGCAGAGTGAAACTGAGAGATTTAATAGGTATGGTTTATATTAATATATATTTAAGATGGAAATGTACTTTAGCACAAGCTAAATTAAATGGAAAAATGTATGTGATTAGCTTATGTTCCTGATAAGGAACAGAATGCTATTGTATTTATATACTGTACATGCACTTATATTTTACAGTATAACATTGTTAACGGTTTTAATGTAATTTAATCATTAGCTGCACTATAAGTAACTGGATCATTTTCTTGTCTGTAACTGTTCATCCTCAAATATTGGGCAAGTAAGAGGGTGGGTTTGCCTAATGTTCTGTAATTTAAATCTTCTGTATTAATAAAGACTACATAATATTATCCTGCTAACTCACTGTTATCCTGCCTGTCACCACTACTACATCACTAGAAGAAATAGCTGTCTTAATGCAGAATTGACCTTTGTTTTTCTGTTGAAGTTATCCAAGTGTGCTGGTTTTGGCCGGGATAGAGTTAATTTTCTTCGTAGTAGCTGGTATGGGGCTATGTTTTGGATTTGTGCTGAAAACTGTGTTGATAACACAGGGATGTTTCAGCTATTGCTGAGCAGTGCTTACACAGAGTCAAGGCCTTTTCTGCTCCTCACCCGGGATAGAGTTAATTTTCTTCGTAGTAGCTGGTATGGGGCTATGTTTTGGATTTGTGCTGAAAACTGTGTTGATAACACAGGGATGTTTCAGCTATTGCTGAGCAGTGCTTACACAGAGTCAAGGCCTTTTCTGCTCCTCCCCCCCCCCCCCCCCGCCAGTGAGGAGGCTGGGGGTGCAGAAGGAGTTGGGAGGGGACACAGCTGGGACAGCTGACACCAACTGACCAAAGGGATATGGTCATACCATATGACGTCATGCTCAGCTTATAAAGCTGGGGGAAGGAGGAGGAAGGGAGGGATGTTCAGAGTGATGGCATTTGTCTTCCCAAGTAACCGTTATGTAAGTAAATGTTATGAAAATAAATGAGTTAATTTCTAAATGTACAAAGGCAGCCAGGAATTCCAGCTGAAATTCCAGTTCCCATTTGGAAAACTGCAAAGAAAAAGCCAGACTTTTTAAAATTGGACAAGCCCTTACATACTTGGTATGGACTTGGTGTTAACTTTAAGTATGGAGTGTTGGATAATTAGGTATGGAAGAAATTGATATTAAAGTTCTGTACTTTCTATCTAAATTTGAAATTACTAGTTGAAAACAAAAGTGGCAGCATAAGCTTTCATGTTCTCACCAATTATCAGATACCAATTTTGTAAAAGTATTCCCCATTTTAATACAAGGCCCTTTGAAGGTGTGCTCATTGGTGCATCCAGAAACACCCAACCCCTTATAGAGTTGCCTGTATAAATACAATTTAGACTGAAGTAGTATACAAATGTCCTTGAGAGTGATCCACCAAAAAACCTGTATTATAAATAAGAAACCTAGAATGGTCTGA